TCAAACCCAATTTTTGGAGCATAGTTAATAAAAAAACCCATTCGATACGGTCATAAGCTTTACTCATATCCAATTTAAGCGCCAAGAAAGCTTTCTGACCTCGACGTTTATTTTTCAGATAGTGCAAAATCTCATGAGATATAAGAATATTGTCTGTTATGTGATGACCTATAACAAACGCCGATTGGGAGTTGCCAATAACTTGATCAACAACACCCATCAATCTATTAGTCATTACCTTAGCAATTATTCGATAAGACACATTACATAAGGCAATAAGGCGGTAGTGCGAGACCAAAGTAGGGGAAGCAATTTTAGGAATAAAAATAATATTAGTATGATTTAAAGAGGAAAGCATATACCTATGTTGGAAAAAACTAGAAACAGTCGCCACCACATCGGATTTAACCACCTCCCAATATTTTTGATAAAATAAGGGGTTCCATATCAAACACCGCTTGCTTAATTTCCAATTCAGTTGGTGGTAGAAGTAAAGACTGATTCATCTCATAAGAAATGCGACAGGGAATATAGCGCAAAAATTGATCAACATTGGAAGGTTATTGAGACTGAAAGAGCTGTTGAAAATACCGCAGGAAAATATCTTGAATATGACCGACATCCTCTAACCACACACCCCTCTCATTCATCACCCCAGATATACCATTCCGAGCTCTGCGTCTTCGGGTTGCAGTATGAAAAAATTGAGTATTTTTATCTCCAAGCTGTAACCACTGATTCCGCGATTTTTGTTTCCAATACAGCTCCTCATCTAACCAACATTGATTAAGCATGGCTTCAGTCTGGAGAACCAAAGAATTATCATAATCCATTGTCCGTTCCTTTAAATTACGGAGAGAAGATTCAACTTGACCAATTCGAACCTTAGAATTGGGACGATGCCGAGCCCAATCAATAAGAGCCTTTTTACACACCTTCAACTTTGCCGCCCAACAATATTGCCGAGAACCTAAAATGGAATTAGTCCACGTGTTGCGAATAATATTTAAGCATCTGTCTGTTGGGAAACGTGCTAGTTTTAAAAACTTTTCGAGGGATTTAAATTCATAGATCTTGATTCATCACATAGAGACAAGTTTTATGCAAAAATAAAACATGATGTATCATTCAATTAAAAGATTGAATACTTACATCAAGGTTTGAGTAAACCTTAGATCTCTCCTCTAAAGTGAATGTTCTCACTTATTGTAGATCCCTTTTGGTAGACACCTTTTCCATGGATCTCCATCTTCTTGGTAATTGTTTTGCCTTTAGGAATCACTCATAAGCCTCCATGTATGACCTTGGAAAACTAGGCTTGTGGGAGCCTCCATTAGATGAGAACATAAACCCTAATTTTCTAGAGAGAGAAAATATATTCCCTTTTCCTTCTAATAAAATCACTCCTAAAATATACATAGACCATGTATATTTATAGGCAACATAAAGGTAAAGAAAAGGAAACAACTAATCCTTCTCAATCTCTAATTCACATGTCTCAAATCTAATATGATTCCAATATCAAGTTGGGCTATGAGTGAGAATTCATTGGGCCTATTATTTTATTGGCTACAATGAATTAATAATTGGCCCGGTCCATGGACCCAATTCAATTAATTCATAAATTAATTTCTACTCCACTAAAAGAAATTAATTGAACTCCAATTAAATAATAAATAACTACTAAGTTAATATTGCACTTTGACCCCTCTATGCATAATTAGTTATCGGATAAATAATGTCATCAATCCGACTACTTAATTAATATATTTATTTTGGTACCTTTGATTATTTCTGGCTTGATCACAATAAAACATTTATTTGACAAAAAAAATAATAATTTAATAAATAAATATATAATAAATCATTTTGTCTAAAAACATACGAAGGCCTTCGAATTTACTTTGTGATCAACCATAATCAATACAAAATAAATACAAGTAGCAATGATGCAAATATTGAAAATATAACCCTCTAACTATTAATTACATAACTACCCAAAGTGTCGGTCTAAGGATCCCGAAGAATTCGCCGAACAAATCAAAATAATTATTAATTAATAAAAGAGTTTATACTTTTCTCATGCTTAAGAGTCAAATGCCATGACGGTGATAGGGAGTAATTGCATACGACGGCTTTCGCAATATATCTCAACCTAAGGCGGATCCAGTTCAAGTCTTAATTAATTATGAGTCCATCCATAATTACCGACTATGAACAATTTATAATTACTATTTATATATCATGCATTGATTGCCATCACATACATATATATAAATATTTCTTGTAATTACATGAATACTATCAATTTCATAGTGAATCGAAACATAATACATTGAATTCACCAATTATATAAATCATAAATATTTCAGATATGCCAGGAACATATGTCATTATAATCCAGATAGGAATTTGCTATGCCAGGGCATATAAATCCCAACACTGTCATCCATAACCCACCTCGCATCAAAATGAAATTGACGTTTTTGTTTTGAGAACAGGGGGAGAAAATTGAAGGAAGAGCGCATGATGATCAGAACCGGCCATAGGAAAATGAGACACTGTGGCTTGAGGGAAGGCCGAAAACCACTTATTAGTACCCAAAGCTCTATCTAGCCGCTCTTAAACATTTGGAAACCCAGAACGCTGATTATTCCAAGTAAATAGATACCCAGAAAAACCCAAATCCAACAAATGACATTAATCTAGTAAGGTTTGAAAATTTTTTAATCGCCAGCCAGATTTAACTGCCCCTCCACATTTTTCAGTAGGGTGCAGGATATCATTGAAATCACCAACAATCAAACATTCAGAAGGCCAAAACTGAGCCCGTTGAGTCAAATGCTGCCATTGTGACGCACGAATTCGGTCAACCGTACTAGCATAAATGATTGTAAGAACCCATGGCAGTTTATTGGGGAGATGAATTAAAGTGGTGATATGAAACACATTACACTCCAGCACCGTCAATTGAATGGAGTCTCTCCACCAAAGTACTAAGCCTCCAGACCGGCCAACTGGATCAGAAACACACGCATGAGGGTAGCCCAAAATACGTTGAAGAGAAACAATCCGGCCCCGTCTATTTTTTGTTTCCAACATTGCTAAAATATCGGGAGAGTGGCTGGACTGAATTCTTTTTAATTGTTGAACCGTCAAAGGGTTTCCCAACCCTTGACAATTCTAAACCAAAAGACTTAAATTACCACCCTGATGGTGCATAGAATTGCTAAACCAGTGCATAGAGATAGACTCACCTCGTTGAAGACAACCCAGAGACGACGCAAACAATCCGGGAGACAAAAGAGGGCAGAAGCGGCTAGAATCGGGCTCTGAAAAATGAAATAGAACAGGACTCACACAAATCTCAGGCCTAAAACCACAATCGTCCAGCCCAGTTGGAGATAGGGCAGGTCTATTCAAACTAGACCCCGGATTACGGGCCCAAGAAGACTGTTCACCTCGGCCCATTTGGAGAGTAACCCTAGTACGGTCAACTCTAGAAGGTTCGCTAAAAGGTTGGGAAGCGCGCCCCTCCAAAATATCCATTGACGGCGTACGCCCCTCCGGCCAACACAAAGTAGTCGAAGAAGATTTAGACACCATAAACAACAACCAGAGACGTGAAGAAGGAGGAAGGAAAGTAGATGAACCCGGCATAAAGCAACAAAACAAAATCGGCAAGACTCCAATCGAACAAGAAGACACCGAACCAAAAACTATAAATCTACAATGATTGGCCACACTAGAGTCCAAACACCGATCGAAGCCGGCTGAGCAAAAACCCCAACACAGAGCACACAAGGAACCAAGAACATCACACCACACAAGGAAACACCCAACAGAAAACAAGCAATCACAACTATCAACAACAAGCGGTGGAGCATACCAAGGACAACGATATCCCAAATAACCCCCTATAACCAAAGAGAACACAAAGTCGAAAAAATCTAGTAATCTCTGCAATCAGAGAACCCTCAACAAAGAGCCGGCTAGAGCAATCCTAGAAACCAAGACCACACAAATACCACCCACCACAACTAATTGCAACAAGAAAGCTGGAATCAACCGAAACAAATGCTGAAACCAGCAACCCAACAACAAAAGCGGCCCTAAACACAAGCGTAAGGTACACCGCTTTACAAAAAAGAGCAAAGTAACGAGCACTAAGCAACCCCGACGGCAGCGAGGAATAGGAAATCGCCTGAACTAGTTGGGGAGGAAATCCAATCACCAACAACAGCCACAAAAACTTCCCCAAGCAGAGGATCAAAAACCACAAGCTTGATGAAACGAGCCAACCTCTGAACCACAGAGGACCTCGACGGCGGCGAGGAAATTCACTTTTTCCTTGAATGGCGTAAGTTAGTAAAGCACGTGTCTTCCTTTAATTGGAGAAGTCACTTTAAGTAAAACCATTAACCAATTCTAATTGAAATACTCTGAAATCGGTCTGGATGCAAACTTCCTCCACATGTCTAAACTTCAAAGTCCCTTTCATTATGGATTTCTTTTAATATTTGATTTTCCACGTGTAACATATCCATTGTAATAATGTGCCACATGTCCTCACTTGACTGTGTTAGTTACTTTGATCGTAATCAAACAACCACTTCTAATTGAAACTTCTACATCTGGAATTGTTTGAGATGAGACTCCTTCCACGTGTCAAATCCTCATTTGGGAAAAATATGGGTGTAAACAACCTTTACGTACATGACCATAAACCACTTCTAACTGAAACTCCTGCGCCTGGAATTGTTTGAGATGAGACTCTTTCCACGTGTCAAATCCTCATTTAGGGACAAATATGGGTGTAAACAACCTTTACCTACATGACCATAAAATGCTTCGATTAAAATGAGTTATCAGTTAAAATATAAAATGAAGAAAATAGAATACAATATTAACGTTAACATGAAATGAATTAATTAAAAAAAATTTAAAAAATTAAATATAGTATGATGAAAATAATTGGAAAAAGAGAATTTGTGGTTGGCTCAAGTGAAATGAAACTATGACAATGGTGGTGATCCAAGAAGAAGAAGATACATTTAAATTATTTTGATATAATTGATTTTTTTTTTTTTTTTTTTCCGTAAGAAATCTTTTATTATACTACAATAGTTTGAAAAGACCTACTTCTATGGTCTGCTATGAAAAGATGTGCCACGCATAGCTTCTGCTATGAAAAAAGAAAAGGACGACTTTGACTACCAGTCTCCTCCCTCGATAAAAGCATAGAGAGTGAAGAGAACTTAAAGCTGTTTCTTGCATCTTCATCAATTTATACTTTGTAAAGATCCAAGTCTGTGTCCAAGCTAAGACTCTTTACTCACAACCAGGTTGGGATCTATCTTCTTTCCTATTAATTTCGCTTTGTAAAATTTCTTTAGCTTTCTTAAATCTGATTTTTGTGAAGTATATATATATATATATTAAACTACTAGTCATTACAGTATATATTTATTCTGTAATGACTAGTAGTTGGGATACACAAATCCTACCACAATACATGTGTATTATTGATAAGGTATTTTATTTTTTTGGTTAATGGAAATTAAAATAATTAGGCAATATACATTTTTCCTGTATAAATAAGTTGGTTTAGGAAAATATTAGTGGTTTTACAAAAATTTAGTCAATCGGCCATATTAATCATAAGATGGTTGGCGTGAGTAAATTGTTTAGGATATGTTCTTCATTAATTGATTGCTTTGAAGATAATTAAAGACGAATTTTTATTATTTTGATCGACATTTTCTACTTTTCAAAAGGTGGAATTTCTCCATTCAACTACATGACATGAATTTGTATAGTATTAAATATTTATTACTTTTTAGTAAGCAGCTAGAAATTTGTAAACTAGACTTTACTTCTTTTTCTAGTTCTACCTACCTGAAAATATATATATATATATATATTATTGTTGGGGGTATATCCATAAATATCATATGGAAATTATTAGGCACTATATAAATATGTTTATTTAGGAAAATATTATTAGTTATACGAAATTGATGATGATTAATGATAAGATGGGTTAGTGTGAGTAAACTTGTTTAGGATATCTTATTTATTTATTAACTAATTGCATGGTTGGAAGATATATAATTAAGGAACAATTAATTTTGTAATTACTAGGCTGGCTGCTGTTTACTTATGGGCACCGCATTAAGCATACTGAAATTGAGAAGTAGAGCCAGCTCAGAAGAAGAAGAAGGGGAAAAGGAGGGAAATATGTTGCGCTATGGAGGCATGTTATTGGAAGAGCTGCTCCATTCATGTGATGGAAAATATAATCCGTTCCGAATTTTCTCAGCTCAAGACCTTGTAATTGCAACCAATCACTACTTTGACCTAATTTCAGGAAGATGGTTGGTACAAGATCTACAGGGGTTCCTTCAATGACCGTCCGGTACTTGTCAAGTCTTTTCACAAGTATATAAAACATGGTATTAATGAAATTGTGTTTGCCTCACAGTTAAACAACCACAACAACATACACATGCTCTTGGGCTGCTGCCTTTGAACTGAATATCCGATCCTAGTGTTGGAGTATCCGGAAAATAGACTTCTTTCTCATCATATATTTGACGATCATCATCATCATCATCATCATCCGCCACTACCTTGGATTGCAGGTTGAAGGTTGCCAAGGAGGTTGCTGATGCTTTGGCGTATCTCCACACTGGGTTGTCCACGCCCATCATTCACATATACGTAAAAGCATCAAGCATATAATGTGCAAGGGACTTTTGGATATTTGGCTCCAGAATACTTGCAAACAAAACAAGTTACTGCCAAGTGTGATGTTTACTCTTTCGGATCGCTGTTGACTGAAATTTTGTCAGGAGAAAAGATTATGGCTTCACACTTACGTAATGACAATTCACATCTTGATTCTATTTTGGGCTTCCCGGAAGAGAGGGCAAGCCACAGCTTCGTCAACTTATTATTGAGAGAGCTACAAACTATATGGGAGTAGATATCATTTTGGAAGATCAATACAAGCTTTCATTGGCATGGAGACTTACATCCAAATGCCATAGTATAAATCCAGAGGAAAGGCCAACAATGACACAAGTATCAAAAGAGATTACAAGGATTATCAAATTTCAATTGAACCAGACTCCGTCAATCTCTCCCACCACCCATCATGCTTGTTGAATTGTGAGCTCACTTTCTCTAGGCATATTAAGCCGCAAGATGTATTTGAACTTGTAAAATTAAATTTAAAATTACAAGTCAAAAATGGATTTGTTTATACAGCACCAGCATCAGAGTCCAACTGCTCACGCCTTACAAGAACACCTTCATCCCAAATCTCAAGACACCTGCCACATGCGATCAAATTGGTCATTTAATAAGAACTAGATGCGCTAGCAGTTGGCGTAAAATAACACAGATGATGCCACTGCTAAGAAAGATATCATTGAAGAATCAAGAAAGCATAATTCACAAATGGAAGATCCTGATTTAGGGAATAAGTTTATTGAAGGAGAATCAAAACAGATTTGCTGAAAAAACAGGGAATCCTTAAAAATGAAATAAGAGCCTTGGAAAATCGGCATTTCGTCAAATAAATGACCATTTTATTGTAATTTGTTGCAACTCAGAACTCCAAAATTGATTTCCATGTTAAAAAACACAGGCCATAATGCAAAAGACATGACCAGGACAACAAGGAAAGAGTTTCTAGGCTATAAGCTTTTTCGAATTCTTTGACTAACCTTTTGTATGGCATCTCCAAAGTGTAACATATAACGTGAACGCCAAAAAATGCAAAACAGAAGAAAACAAATTAAATATAGGAAAAAGTTAGCGAGTGAATGGAAGAAAAACCTTTCTCCGTCCACATTCACACAAAGAAAGTGGCCATGTCGCCATCCGTCTTTGAATTGGCCAAAAAAGACGTCACCAGGCTTTGAATAGAAGCGCCCTTCACCATTGGCCTTCCCCTTCCAAAAGTTTGCAAACCATCGATCACCAGTATGAAAGTAAAACCATCCCTACATTATAACATTGAACTTACCAACTTAAGGATACACAAAAATATTTTTTCAGGGTAGAATCCTTTAATAGCAATGAGACAAGTATTTGCTCATGTTCAGGGCTTAGTTTCAAGATAAAAATGCAATACTTCTTTTTCTTACCAAAAGTAAATTAAATGGCCAGTTTAAAAATGAACATATGCGTAGATTCATTAAATGAACTATCCAAAAATGGTTCTTGTGTTTCGACATTGACATGCATTTTTGAAACGAGATGATAATATATCATTATAAATTGGATTGGTGTGCTTGTTGAATCATGAAATGTTGTATTGAGATTATGAATACCCATGTGAATAAACATAATGCCACAAGAACAAGGCAAGTTTTACCCTTTAGAACATGAAAAGGTGAGAAAGCAAAAGAACTAAAGCTCAAATGGAATCCCATAAACTCTAAAACAATACAAGTTAAAATCGATAACTACAGCCACATAGCTATATGGGACATATATGAGAGTAATTTTGGGCAGGGAAATGGAACAAACAGCAGAAAAGAAGATAATTAAGCTGAGCTTATGTTTTGCTTTAAAGAGAGTTTATCTAGTCAAAAATGGACAAGCCTCATGCTAAAAATCATGATGCATACCTTGCCATGCATTACATCATCCCTCCACGATCCTTGGAACACATCCCCATTACTAAAGTAGAATGTACCTAGACCTGATCTCTTTCCAAAGCGCCACATGCCGTCATACATGCTTCCATCCCCAAGAGACAGACAGCCCTGTTTAAAATAAAAAATAAAAATCCCAACTCTGTATTTCATCTACAAATGCCGTCATACATGCTTCCAAGGATCCATCACAGTACCTTCCCTTCAGGAAGACCTCCTTGGCAACGCCCCCTGTATATTCCTCCTCTGTATTTCATCTCCACCATGGGGCTCCATTTTTTTTGTGAATCTCGTTCTGCTTCCTGTAAATAAAATAAAATAAAAATAGACAGTAGAACTAAAGAAAAAAAAGAACTAAAATAAACCAAGGGATCCTGATGTCCAGGAACTCTCTATTTTACTCATGGTTTCGAGTGTCAGGCGTCCAACTTCATGGCCGAAATATTCTCAACTTGAACAATTTTAATAAAAGTATATTCAAGCATTGATGCTTATGCAGGATGCCTGAAAATGGCATCAGCCAATTTAATCATCTAAGCGAAGAAGCTACTTTGAAAGAAAGTATATAGAGTATAACAACAATACATACAGGTGCATTAAGTTTTTATTATATCAAAATATAGAAGGAAACACGACTAAAGATCGTTTTTTTTTTTTTTTTTTCAAAAGAGAACCTAAAACATTAATATCAAAACTATTTTTCTTACTCGACAAAACATACAAGTTGGTTGAGGCAAGACTCGATGAAACAATTTGTTGAATATTAAAGTTATAAGCAGTTATTTACCATGACATTAATTGTAATGACAAACAGCCGCGAACCAAGAAACAATCACGAAACACAACAGAACTAAGTAAACACCCGACACACAAAGAACACAATGATTATGTGGTTTGGCTTAAAGCAATCCTACGTCCACAACGAAGATCCAGCAAAATATCTCACTATGCGAAAAACATAATATTACAAGTTTCAGCCCTCAAACCCTAGCTCTCTCTCTCTTTCTCTCTCCTGCGATCAGTGTTCTCTAGTTATCCCACTCCAAACCCTAAGTGCCTTTATATAATGGGCTATAAGAGAGTACTAAACAGGGTCCAAGACACATGAGCAAAAACCAGATCAATTTTTCTCTTTTCAGGTCAAAACGGGTCGCAACGCAATCTGGCCTGAAACAAAATTCGGGCCACAACATCACATTAATTTTATTTTATTTTTGGAGAAGTAATATTTCATTAAAGAGCGCTCACGAGAGGAGCGCGCCCTGAATGCAACTACACAAAAAAGACCCTCTATACTCCCTTTAGATTCCACAAAATCAAAAAATTTCTCTATAGCTTTACACTGCCGCCCATATACCCAAAATAAAAAAGAACTCATAATTGAGAATTTAAGCACCCAAGAGGGGGCCTCTACCCCATCAAAGCACCTCCTATTAAGCTCTCTCCACAAGCCCCACCACAAGCATAGAGGGGCAACTCTCCAAGCGTCTCGGGCTGGCCTCCGCACTATACAACCTTTCCAAGCCTCAAGAAGACTCCTCGTGGAATTTGGCATAACCCATAGGATGCCAGACAGAGCAAAAAGAAAAGCCCGCCCATCCCTAGCCAAGGAACAGTGCAAAAGGAGGTGATTCACTGTCTCCTCACCCCCTTTGCACATGCAATACCAATTCACAATAAGCTGTCTCCTTTCAAATTGTCAATTGTCAAAATTCTTCACAGGGCTGCTATCCAACTGAAAAAAGCCACCCTTGGAGGGGCTTTGGTCCATAATATTAATATCCAAAACCTTTTATATTAGTATGACAAAATCCTAGGAGCCCATACAGTTTACTTTCATGACTCTACTTATGTTCTAATTCAACATGTCACCCGTTTCATTGTTCTGATAATATATATAGTTCTGTGTTTGTGTGTACAAATTTTCATTTTACATTATATCTTTATATGCTATTTGTATACATTCCAGGAACATTACTAGTAGCTGGCTATTAGTATACCTCAAAGCTCTCAACTTTAAGAAGATAATAAATAAATAATCATTTCACCACATGATCCTATTAACTGTGCCTCAACTGTTCCACAGGCTCATTTTGATAAGAAAGAAGAACTTCCAGTTCAAATTAAATGCTACTAATGTGTAGCAAACATAAATGATCAAGCATGAAATGATTTCATTTGAGTTCTAGAAAGCAAGCATGCCATTTAGAAGTTTGACAAAACAAAGCATAGAGCACAGTGCACGGAGGAAACAAAGATACCTTTAGAATAAAGTATGCCTATAAGTCATAATTGGACAATGCCTAAAGAAGGGGGAAAAAAATATTTTTAAGAATGCTATTTACCAGCATAGATGCTGCACGAACTGAAAGAACTCCTTGCTTCTTAGAAACATTACTGTAGGTTCCTTTTAATAGGGAAGAAGCGTTAATAGAAAAGTCCATCACTGCATCAACACCTGCATCAGTCAAAGCATCCCAGGACTTTACTGGAGTAACCTCAGGCTGTGCCTTCATATCATCCTCAATTGTTTTCGTGGGGTAATTTGTGGTTTTTAAGGTAATGGGACTATCTTCCAACTCTTCTGAAGGTTTTACACCAACCGGAAGTTTGTAGATGCTGAGGTTGTGAAGCATTGGGGAGGTTACAGATTCAGTGGCTCCTTCTTTGGCCCAGTCCTGCGCAATCTGATATCCTGGTCCCAAATTCCATCTGATGAGTGGCTCCCTCTGATAAGCAGGTGCTCCTAGATATTCATTTTGACCATAATAATATAAACAAATGAGTTTGTTGATTGTTCTGATGTGCTTCATTTCACTGCCTTTCAAGAATTAGATGAGCCAAACGCAGCAGTTAAATTATTTAAATTCATGATATTAAAAAAACAAAAAACTATATCATCTTCATTCTACCTTCAGTGTCTGGGTTGTAAAAGCTGGAAGAATCAGTAGCGGCCTCTGGAAATTCAATCTCACTTGGTTCAGAACCATCACCATAATCCCTAATTTACAATATTAGATGAGAAATTTTGTGAATACAAACTCTTTTACAACGGCAAGAGTGTTAAAGATGAACTAAAGCAAGAGGGAGACATAATAGAACCTCAAAGAATATGTTTCATCACCATTTTTGCTCAACAGTGTCTGGATTTCTGCAGAGTAAATACCAAAACTTTCAGCTGAACCATCTTCCAGAATTATATTTGATAATTCACCAGAATCTGCAAATTCACCAGAATCCGGTGATTTCATCTCCTCAGAAATGTGTGATTTTTCAGGCGAACTGTGCCTCCTCAAAAGATTGAAAATGAAAGGAAAATGTTGGGCCAGTTTAGAGAATATGCCACTCTTCTGAGAAGTCTCTTGTCCACTGTAACTGGCAATAACATGAAATTTAAGCATCAGAAATCATCTATAAGCACACAGTATTCATTATACAACAAAGAATAAATAATAAAAGAAAACAGAACCTAGAGGACACTTCATTTATTATTAGGATGCTAAGCAGCAATCCGGATATTCTTCAAATCAATTTCACTCAAAGATGCACAAAAATAGGGAACACTTACTTTAATAAGCACATATAATATTTAAATTGGTTCATGGATATGGATAAATGCCTAAATTTTAACTGATGCTCTTAGTTCCAGTAAGCCTATCAAGCCACTCAGACTTAATCTTTAATACCATGTCATTAAAGAGTATCTTCAAATAATTTGAGGAAGACTGAAAAGTTTTGCAACGCCAAAAGAGTGGCCAAAAAAACAATTTTTTTCCACATTCTGAACCTCCTTTACATTTATCACAATTTTTTTTTTTTTCCTTTCTTCACCTGTCTCATTACTTAAATTGAGTTTGTGAAATTAGGGCGAAACATGACCCATCTCGGTCAAGACATGGTCGAGTCAGACTGAGATAGTAGTGATTTATGTTCTGATCGAGATCTCAGCCTAACTCGGACATGACTAAGGCCGAGTTCGAGTTAACTTGACTGACTCAGGCCAAGTTTTGAAACATTGTATTAATTCACGATGTCTTCTCCATGAAAATGTTCCATGCTATAACCCCATGGGAAGGAACCATTTGTCAACACTCAACTACCAAACTAACAAGGCCATGGTCCTGGATTTGATTCTTCCCCTTTGAAGCCAGCTTCACAAGAACTCTCCATGGCCTAAAACTGGATTTGAGATTGAGGCCGTGCCACATGTCCAGAGAGGAATAGTCCCACCCAAAGAGTAAGAACAAACAATAGTGAACTAAAGTAGATGTGTCACACTAAAGAATGACATCTAAGAATTAAAGCTCATACGACAAGTTCTGATCAGAAAAATTATCTCAGATACTTGTTTTGGAAGGGTGGTGACTAAGAATCACAGTGGTGACCTAAAAAGGTCTTGGCAGAGAAACTTGGGGCTTTCTTGAAATTAAGATATCCTTCATGGACTCTTCAAAAGTAGGTGAAATACCCATGTCAGACACATGATACTCAAACATGGGTATGAGATATATGTTTGACACATGTAGTTGGGCATTTACTTAAAAACATTTAGTGAGATACCTATATTTAACATTATGTTACATAAAATGTTAAATAAAAATAAATGAAAAATAATAATAGTCATCAGTGTTCTGTTTGAGAATTTGACTTGTTTGATGCTTAGATACATAGCTGCACTCGATACATGTACCCAAGTCCATATAACATAGAATTAAGGCAGGGAAAGCTAAGGCCTTTCAAAAGGGACTTGTTCTCACCAAACGTTTGCATATCTAGAAGGTAATCCTGGAAGGATATTCCTTTAAATTAAAATGGCAATACATGCTAAATAAGTTAACTTCATCCCATATGGATAACTTCCCAAAAAATCAAAATGTGCTTTCAAGAGTTTATGAGAAGAGAGATGAGCCACAAGAAAATTGGTAACATTGCAATGATGAGATTTTGCTAGAGGAAAGACCTGACAACTAAACTATAGCTCGGCTCTATGTGATTGTTCGTCTTAAAGCTTGATATCTTATAAGGAATATATCTCCCAACCCTTGTGTGAGAAAAGTTCTCTTTCCGGTCTCAGAGTTCATGCACTGAACAGTTGCTTAATTTTATTCTGTATACATAGACTATATGACTATAAAATCAAAATGTGCTTTCAAGAGTTTGAGAAGAGAGATGAATCACAAGAAAATTGGTAACATTGCAATGATGAGATTTTGCTAGAGGAAAGACCTGACAACTTAACTATTGCTTGGCTCCATGTGATTGTTCGTCTTAAAGCTTGATATCTTATAAGGAATATATCTCCCAACCCTTGTGTGAGAAAAGTTCTCAGAATTCATGCATTGAACAATTGCTTAATTTTATTTTGCATGCATAGACTATATCACTATTCAATATAGAATGCCACCCACTTGGTCTGCACTCTGCACCAGGAGTCTAGGGCCTCTAGGCCTAAACAATGACATGTACAATCATCTAATCCAATTAGAAGAACTAACGGGTTAGTGGCCTAGCGATACCAGCCTCTTACTTCCCAAAGGGATGTCAGGGATTCAAGTCTCAAAAGAGACAAGTGTGTGTGAGTACCAAATAGGAAAAAAAAAAAAAAAAAATCCAATTAGAAGAGGCATTCACTGCATCTGGGAGCATAAATACCATTTCTTTGTAAAAAAAATTAGAAAAACCTTAATTTGATCAAGTGTATTCACCAATGTATCATGCTTAAATTAGGGTTCAAAGAAAATAGATGAAGACGGAGACACTGTTTGGGAATTTTGCGTGAGGAGAAAAACTCAACTCACCTCACTCCAATATCTTTTCTATGTATAGACACACACACACACACACACACACACACACGAGTACAAAAATAATTGATAAACTAAAAGACCCTTGTGGGGTAAACTAAGTACAAGTGTGCCCTAATATAGTTATTCTAACACTCCCCCTTAAGCTCGATAATATATTTCATATAATCCCAGGTTGGAACAAATCGCCTTCAACCGACCATGACCGAGAGCCTTAGTAAACAAATCAACCAACTGATCTTCACACTTCACAAATGGAATAGAAATGTTCCCACTCAATATTTTGCCATGAATGAAGTGACAATCAACTTCAATATGCTTAGTCCTTTCATGGAACACTAGATTAGAGGCAATATGGATAGCTGCTCGATTATCACAAAAAAAAAAAAAAAAAAAAGGGGCAGAATAGGAGTTTGAACTTCCGAACCAAGTTCTTTAAGGAAATGTTGTAGCCACGTCAACTCACTAGATGTATGAGCCATCGTCATGTACTCAGCTTCAGCACTAGACTATGCTACAACTGTTTGCTTCTTACTCTCCCATGTAACTAAATTACCTCCTCAGAAGGTGCTATAGTGGATCTTCTATCCGAGAGTGAACCAGCCCAATCAGCATCTGTAAAACCTTCCACCTTAAGGTGCCCATTGTATTTATACAACCACCCTAGACCCGGAGCTCGCTTGAGATAACGGATAATCCGAATAATAGCATTCCAATGTGGCACCCTAGGAACTCCTATGAATTGATTGACCACACTATTGCATACGAGATATTAGGCCAATATCTACCAGGGTCATCCTATAAATCACCATCATCAGCTACGAGTTTTGTGTTTGGATTGATAGGAACATCAACCGGACAATCACCTAATAGACTCGTTTCTTTTAATAACTCCGGCACATACTTTCTTTGCAACAAACTTATACCTTCCTTTGATCTAGAACTTCAATTCCCAAAAAATATCTGAGTTTACCAAGTCTTTGGTATGAAACCAATGTTGTAGAAAGTCCTTCAACTTAGCAAGTCATCACCTGTTATAACAATGTCATCCACATGCACTAAAAGGAAAATGAAACCTGCTCCAATACGTTGATGAAATCAGAATGATCTATCTGGCATCTACGAAGACCAAATTTTAATGTTGCCTTAGAAAATTTTCCAAACCAGGCTCTTGGTGATTATTTCAAACCATAAAGAGTCTTCTTTAAGTGACAAACACTATGTCGATACTCCCCCTGAGAAACAAACCCAGGTGATTGCTCCATGAAAACCTCTTCAGCTAAGTTGCCATGTAAGAACACATTCTTAACATACAATTGAAACAATCGCTAATTACGATTAGCAGCAATAGAAATGAGAACTTGAATAGATAAAATCTTGGCAATAGGTGAGAAGGTCTCATCATAATCAACACCATAAGTCAGTGCACACCCCTTTGCAACAAGCCGAGCTTTTAAACGTTCAATAGAACCATTAGGAAGGTATCTGATGGTGTAAACGAACTTACAACCAATGGGTTTGGAAATAGAAGACAAGGGAACAAGATCCCACGTTCTATGACGATGAAGGGCATCCATATCATCTTCCTCGCTTTTCTCCAGCCCAAATCAGAAAGAACATCCTGCACAGTATTAGGAACAAGGGTGGTAGACAACTGGGACAAAAAAACATAAGAGGGTGATAATGAATTATATGAGACATAATTGGAAATGGAATGTTCAGTGACACAAGACAGAGTACATTTACGAAGGGCAATAGGCAAAGAGTCGGACAGAACAAATGGTGTTCTGATCCAAAGACTCTGAAGAACGTTGACGGGGTATGGAAGTAGATGGCATCGGTCTCCGAGTATAAACCTGTAATGGAGCAATGGGTTGCGATGGACTATAGTGATTGGATAACGATGGGAGAGGAAGTGGAATAGAGTGTGAGGACTCGGGAGTAAGATCAAGAAGAGGACTTTCATCGGAAAAATATGGAATAGACTCACAAAAAAGAGACATTTGCACTAATGAAGAACCGTTCAAGGATAGGACTGTAACAACGATAACCCTTCTTTAAACGAGAATGACCTAGAAAGACACACTTAGTTGCACGAGGATCAAGTTTATCAAAACCAAGTCCGAGATTGTGGACATATACACATCCAAAAATGAGGGAGAATTAGGAAACAATATTGTGACGACCTCTATGGGCGGGAGTGATGTGGGCGGGTGCAAGACATTAGACGAGCTGCTACACTGGTTGGCTACAGGGTGTCACGATCCCACATCGCCTAGGGAAGGTGAAGTGCTATATGTAAGGTTCAACACCCTTCTATAACATAATGTGTTTTAAAGCTGTGATGGTCGTGAACCCATCAAAACTCCAAAGTTAAGCGTGACCTCCTGGGAAGTCTCTAGTCCAGGGGAGCCAAAAGCGGGCAATATTGTGTCTGAGTAGGGTGAGGACTGTTACAAAAATACAATAAAGGGATTCCCATTCAACATAGAAGATGGGATACGGTAAATGAGATAACATGTCTAAGTACGACAACTCTAAAAACATTTTGGGACATGCATATGGTATAAGAAAGCACGGGTCACATCGAATAGGTGACGATTTTTATGTTCAGCCACACCATTTTATTATGGGTAGAAACACGTGATGATTGATGAATAATCTCTTTATCATGAAGATATGAATTGAAATGAGATGAGAAATATTCTTTGGCATTATCAGAGCGCAAGACATGAAGTGAACATCCAAATTGGGTTTTCATCTCCTTACGAAATATTTGAAAGATTGTAAATAACTTGAATCGATCTTTCATTAAGAACAACCAAGTCATACGATAATGATCATCCACAAAAATCACAAAATAACAAAATCCATTAATGGAAGTATGCTTTATCCCATACGTCTGAATGAATCAACTGAAAAGGACTCGACACACGATTATCAATTCTGGAGTTAAAGGACACATGATGATGCTTGCTAAGTTGACGAGCTTCACATTACAGAGATGACATACGACTAAGACTTGGGACTTAACGTTGTAAAACTGGAAGCAATGGGTGACCAAGACGACACTGCCTTAAAATGGAGATAGAGAAGAATGACAAACCGTGGGATGAGGCGCAAAATCAAAATAGTACCTCTGTACCATATTATATGTCCACTTTTCATTTTAGAACTTTTTAAGGGTACATGCAATTAATGCATTGTCCCCTTATAAGATTACCAAGTGGACCTTTCAAGTTTAAATAGATATATTATCAAGTTGGGAGATTTTCAAAATTTTAAAGAGTAATTTTGAAAATATTGGTTTTATTTTGCTTTGACTTTTCAAACTGGACAAGTATTTTGGGAAAACCCAAAATGGAAAGATGGACAACTATAATGGGATGGAGGGAGTATAAGCCCACCAGCTTCATGATCATGCCCCGTGCTAATCTTCTTTTTTGTCTTGAAAAACAAAATAAGTGGGATAAAACGTAACAGAACACTGGAGGGATTTAGTAAGATTACTGATAAACATAAGTTAAAGGGAAATTGAGGAACATGTAAAACAGATGGTAGAGAAAAGGAGAACTAAGTCGCGTTTTTCTGAAACCTAAAACTTTAGATGATGAACCATTTGCAAGAGTGACACTCTGAGAAGAAGCGACAGAATGAAAGTCGGATAAAAGATTAGAGCAACCAGTCATCTGATCTGAAGTTGCTGAATCAATAATCCAGGTACTATTAGTGGAAGATGGTAAACATTTGGATACAACACTTGATTGAGTAGAGACAGCAATAGAAGATGACATTGATAGCTGTGGCTGTTGTTGAGATTAAAGCTGAGTATACTTAGCACGTGGGATAGTGATCATGTCAGATTCAGAAAATTGGCAGGAAACAGAAATTTGGGCATTTTCCATTTTACAGAAAGTGAATGGTCCGAGATTCGAACGACATTCTCATATAATTGAATTTACAACAAAACACAAATTGCATCAAGAATTTACAGGAAGGAAACATTGAGAAGACATGGAAGAATGAAGCAGCAGAAGTAACAAAGGAACCAACTCCAAAGTACGATTTGCATCTAACATTTTCTACACAGATGGAAGGCAGACAACATCTTTTACTAATCATACTATTCTACATGTGAACTTTGTCTCTATATCTCATTATGTACCAAAAAAAATTAATAATAATTAACCACCACGCATAATTAGGTAATAGAAAATGTCATTAGGAATGACAAAAACCAATATCTAATGTAGGAAAATAAACTGCAATCCTTGATTTTTGCAGTACATGCAATCCCTTTGCTTTTACCTTTCATATGTTCCAATATATACTTATCCCAGAAAAAAAATATATTGTTTAGCATTTAAATATGAAAAATTGTCTACTAGAATCCTCAATGCTCAGAGATGTTCGAGAAGTTGATGCAGAAATTTAATTGGGTAGTCAAATAATCTATATTCATGCACATAATTGAGATTCATAACTATGGACAAGTTAACAGAATAGTGTTTTTGAAAAATAAAATTATTAACAAGAGACTAATAACCAATTGAACTAGTCAACTTATAAGAATTCTACATCTGGAAACAAGGATTCTTACCCCAAGGTAATAACTGTGGTTACTATGATGTTTGGCTCCAGATTAGGTTCATGAACCATTGAAATTACAGTTTCCCCCATATATTCTGTAGTTTGACGAAAAGCCTTCAAAAAGGCACGCAAGTCACTGCTGCTGATATCACCTGAACTCGAAAGGATGCATATGACAACACCATTCAAGTCCTGAGCACGAAAAAGAACAAAGTAGGAAAATATAAAAATTGTGGCATAACACATAGAGAAGAGGCATAAGTTCTGTCTAAATGAGAAGTTTGAAGAGAAATAGAAAATAAAATTAAGAACGCAAATCATAAGAAGAGACTTAAGTAGAAATTAAAAAATATTCAAAGTAATAAAAAAAAATAACAGCCAAGAAACCTCATGGGGAGGAGGAAAAATAGAAAAATAAAAATTTATGAAAGTGGGAGAAAAAACACGCGCAAAGCTAATGTAGACAGAAAAAATTTAACGTGCATCTTAATTTAATTTGTTGATACCTTTACACCAATACTAAGGAATGGGCAATCATATATAGCTCGCACAATTGAAGTATTTATGTTGTAACCAGCTCCAAATCCAATTTTTACTTCTTTACAGCTTTTAAGAATCTGCACGTAGTTGCGTTAACCTTCTGTTAGTAATGTAAAGAACAAGAGTACAATGTTGTAAATTAGATGGAATGAGAGATATTAAGTGAGGTCCAATCTCTTTCGGGAGTGATTGGGTTCAAAAGACATCGTAACATAATGTGATGAAACAGTAATGGAAGACAAAAATTGCAGATAAATTTTTAACTATAAAATATGAGATGGTCAAGAACTCACTTTTATAACTTCTGGAACTTTGAGTTCATTCATTCCACTATTTGGTACATCTAGAAGTTTTTTGTGCATCTCCTGTCAATAATGCAACAATAGAAAATGGCCGCAAGGGCAAGAAACGGTTGAGAGCCAAGAGAAAGCAATGAAGGTAAACTTACAGATATTAGAATGGATATAGCATTAATGGCCATTAAAACAGCATTGTTTGCAGTCTTCAAAGCCTCGTCCAGAGTTACCAGATCTTTCTTTAGTAGTTCATCAGTGTCAATCACTGTGGGCAGGTAGAAACAAAACAGCAATCCACTAGAAGGTAAGTCGATTTATCAGTAGCAATAATTATTAAAAAATAGCAAACTTTTAACTCCGCTGTCCCAATTTAATAGTCTCTACTTCCAATTTTCGATGTCCCGTGGTACATCCCACCTTGAAAGTCAGTGTATCAAATTTAGTAACATTTAGTCTATTTGATAAATCTCTTTTGAAAGTTGCCTTCCAAGTGAATTTTTAAACTATAAGAATGAAACTTAAGAAAATATAATGTAATGCATTAAATGTTATTTCCATAAAGAATTGGATCTATTGTACAGATGAACGCCAATATGGAACAGAAGGTGTGCTAGTAAAACCAACAAAAGCAGCAATCAGGAAGCAGTCACTCCAACTACTATCTTTCCTGTTTTTAATTACAAGGATGGACACTCAATAATGGGAGTGCTATTGAAACCAGCAAAAGCTGCAATTAGGAAGTAGGTACTCCAAGTGGTTGGGCAGTCCGTGTCAAAATAGTTTCTTGCATAACTTGGGAACAATATATTGCGGAGTAACTTGACTAATACCACTTCTGCTATCATTTTATTGGCTGTTGAAAAAGAAGGAACACACCAAGTGTTCGCAACTATAAGAAAGTGAACAAGAAAAAGGAATGGAGCCATAATTCATAGTGAATAACTGTAACATAATCCAATCCTAAAGATGATTACTAAAAAGATCCGTAATTTTACACTTCACAAATAATGCAGCGGGGGCCACCCATGTAGACAGGTTGTGGTATCACATATGCATGGTGTAACAAAGATCACATAACGCTATTGGCCGTCACCAATTTTTCTTTTTCTTTTTAAATTTCAACCTCTCGATTATAGCTTTCACCTCCTCCCAAGGTTTTAAAAACCGATCTCAACTACCAACACGGTCTCTGTCACGGTGTCACGAGCTCAAGCTGTAATGTGGGTTAGTTTTGACTGTCATGGTTGTGCATCTTTTTCAACAATAAGAAACATGATCAATATGAACAGATACGAAAGTTTTAACTCCATTCAATAAAACAAAGTTTTTAATGGTACAATAAGAAACATGATAAATACGAATTGATATGCAAATTTTAACTCCATAATTCAATCAAACAAAGCACAATGGGGTTATTTGGTGACAAAAATAGCACAAGGGAGTATTTGCCACTTTTTGAAAGCACCAGGGAGGCGGGGGGTCATTGAGTACAATTTGGACTAAAATAAAATTTATGAAATTTATTTGAATAAATCTAGAAATACATAATAGGGATATAGTGAATATTGAATATCAAGAGATGCCAAAAAGTAGGGATATCAACTATTTAGGCTTGATTATCACGACAACAGGTAAATTGAAGACGACGTTAATCATAGAATCAAGGCACGATGACTTAAATGGAGTACTTCATCTAGTATACATAATAAATCTAGAAACACAAAATAGGGATATAGTGAAGATTGAGTATCAGGAGATACCAAAAGTAAGGATATCCCCCATGTAAGCTTGATTATCATGACGATGGAGAAATTGAAGATGATGTTAACCATAGAATCGAGGCATGATGACTTAAATGGAGTACTTCATCTAGTGTCCCTCTAAGATTTAAAGGGAAAAATTCTATAAAATAGCTTTTAGACCATCTATTCTTTATAGGGAAATAATTTTGAGCAGCTAAGAAACGACATTTGATAATTTGATTGTGGCAGAAGTGTGAATATTGACATAGATGTGAGGTAAGACAAGAAATGATAAAAATTAGAAGGGCGGTTTAGTGCAATTTGGACTAAAACAAAATATATGAAGTTTATTTGAATAAATCTAGAAATACATAATAGGGACATAGTCAAGATTGAATATCAAGAGATGCCAAAAAAGTAAGGATATCCACTAGTTAGGCTTGATTATCACGACAACGGATAAATTGAAGATGATGTTAACCATAGAATCTAGGCATGATGCCTTAAATGGAGTACTTCATCTAGTATACATAATAAATCTAGAAACACATAATAGGGATATAGTGAAGATTGAGTATCAAGAGATGCCAAAAAGTAAGGATATCCCCTATGTAGGCTTGATTATCATGACAACGGAGAAATTGAAGATGATGTTAACCATAGAATCAAGGCATGATGACTTAAATGAAGTTCTTCGTCTAGTATATTGTGTGATTGTTGTATCCCTCTAAGATTTAAAGAGAAAATTTCTATAAAATAGCTTTTAGACCATCTATTCTTTGTAGGACATAATGTTGAGCAGCTAAGAAACAACCTATGATAATTTGATTGTGGCAGAAATGTGAAGACTGAGATAGATGTGACAGCTAAGACAAGAAATGATAAAAATTAGAAGAGTGGGGGTTTGTTTAGTGCAATTTGGACTAAAACAAAATATATGAAGATTATTTGAATAAATCTAGAAATACATAATAGGGATATAGTGAAGATTGAATATCAAGAGATGCCAAAAAGTAAGGATGTGCACTATTTCGGCTTGATTATCACGACAACGTATAAATTGAAAATGATGTTAACCATAGAATCAAGGCTGACTTAAATGGAGTACTTTATCTAGTATACATAATAAATCTAGAAACACATAATGGGGATATGGTGAAGATTGAGTATCAAGAGATGCCAAAAAGTAAGGATAACAGCTAGAAGATGACCATCTTTCCGTTCTGCCACTCCATTTTGTTGTGGTGTGTTGACACATGAAGACTCATGAATGACTCCTTTTTCTTGGAAGAATGATGACAACACTTGATTAAAGTAATCCTTAGCATTATCAGATCAAACTCTTTTTATCTCAATCCCAAATTGGCTTTTCACCATGTGGAAAAAATTTTGAAAGGTGGAACTGACATCTGATTTTTGTTTTAACAGAAAAACCGATGACACACGAGTACAATCGTCAATAAATGAGACAAACCATTGAGCCCCAGAGATATTATGAACTGTAGAAGGTCCCCAAACATCACTGTGAATTAGAGTAAAAGGTATTGAAGATCTTGTATTACTTATTGGAAAAGAAACACGTTTATGTTTTGCAAGTTCACAAACATCACAATGAAACATACCCAAATCAAATCCTTTAAACAAACCAGGAAACATTATTTTTAAGAATACTGAAAGAAGGATGACCAAGATGAAGATGATATAACCAAATTTTATTTTTATTGGAAAGAGAAGACTCGGAAAGCAGAGACAACGGAATAGGATCCTTAGTGCTATTTTTCCCATTAGGTTCCTCAAGAAAGTAGAGCCCATTCCTCTCCCTAGCAAGTCCAATCATTGTCTCCGTGCTCTGGTCCTAAAATTTACAAAGTGCGGAAGAAAAGGTTACCATACAGTTCAAATCCTTTGTAAGCTTGTGAATTGAAGCTAGATTGGTAGACAATTTCGGCACATGCAGAACATTTTTTAAAACAAATTTCTGATTTATAACTATATCCCCTCGACCAGCAACTGTAACCAGTGTTCCATCAGCAGTGACAATTTTCTTATTACTAGGTCTGTAAGAGACAAACCCATTAGATGATTGCGTCATAAGATCCGTAGCCCAGGAATCCATCCACTACCCAAGTTCCTTTTGAGATCGACACATTAAGTGCATAGGGCTGAGAGTTACCTGAAAAAGCCAAGGAACAAGTACCTGCACCACTCGTAGGTGTCTCTAATGTCCCTAGAAAATATCTCAACTTCTCGATCTCTTCTCTATTGAACTCGGATCGCTCCTGAGAGAATTCTCCTTCTCCTCCTAATTGGGCCAAGGTCAAATGTGCCTGTCCTTGCCCTCCTCCTTGATTACTCTTTGCTGTCCAAGAAGGATTTAGAGTATTTGGGGGCTTACAATGGAGTTTCCAACACCTCTCCCTGCTGTGTCGCGGCTTCTTACAGTAGGTACACCATAAAGAGTCTTTATTACCTGCTCTTGATCCTTCAAACAGCCCATTATTTCCTCCTACTCCATTGGAATAGGCATTCGACTGCTGCCGGTCTGACTTCACAGCTCTCGGATTTGCAGCTTTTGTAACCAAGGCTGAACCATCTGCCAATTGAGGCTCCATCATAACTCCTCTTCGTCCTTATTCTCCATGAATTATGGCAATTGTTTCATTGAGGGAAGGAATTTCCTCCTTTCCTAACACTTGCACTCGGACAGGATAGAACTCAACGTTCAATCCGGCAAGAAAGGTGTAAATTCTCTCTTTTTTCCATATAACGTTTAAGAAGGGCTGCATCATCACGCACTTCATCTCAATACACCAATAATGATCCAATTCTTGCCATAAGTTTTGTAAAGTCTGAGCATATTCAATGACCGAGCGGTTACCTTGTTTGGTAGATGAGATTTTTGTCTTAATCTCACAGATTTGTGCAGCATCTCTGATTTTAGAATAGGTCTTGCCTGCAGGACTCCCAAATCTCCTTAGCTGTTGTCAAAAACATGCAAGCATCGCTGACTTCTGGCATCATCGAATTTCATAACCAGGACATCACCGTCGAGTCATCTTCATCCCACGCAGCAAACTTCGGATCATCCAGTTTTGGTCCCGTCCCAAGAAGATGACTCAGTTTGCCCTTCCCTTTCAAGAAGGTTTGAACAAACTGAGACCACTTTAAATAGTTTTTTCCGTTGAGACGTAAACCTGGTCGAATATTCTGCAACTCTCCTGCTGCAATGTTAATGACTTCATTAGAGACTTGCTGATTGATAGATTCGGAAACCTCAGTCATGATTTTGGACAGAAGTGGAAAGAAATCTGGGCTCAAGAAGACTGATTTGAAAAGGAAAAAAATGCTTCCAGAAAAAATGGCAAAGCAGGCCGGAAAAAATAAAACCAGAAGAAAAGAAAATGGCAGTTTAGGCAAGAAAAAGAAAAAACTGGAACCTTTTTCCAGAAACCTTTTATGCAGCAATGCAGGACACAAATTTACACGGATTCCCAGAGAGCATTTAGCTCTGATACCATGTGAAGTAATGGGAATATTATTATTTATTAAGCAACGCACAGGGAAAAAATATATAGGCAAACAACAGCCTACAAATCTGGAATATCGACTCCTATAATACAATCCCTATAAATCAGGGATATTAGCTAGCAGAATATATATTCTAATTACAAGACATATATACAGCTGTAATACACGTTTTCTCCCCATCTAGTGAGCTGTAAAATCTTCACAACCTATTCAAACCATAATTATTGATTCTAACAATTCTCATACCCTTTCATCATGATAAAACTTAATTCCATGATTCTTGTCAACTTCTCGTGAATTTATGAAAGCATTGACACGGATTTGACACCCACATCCCAATAGGAAAAAAAATTAAAGAAAAAAGAAGAAGAAGAAAATAGGACACAAATAAATTATTTAATATATAAAAAAAATACTCATATATGTGATAAGTAAATAACTTTAACTGTAAACATAATCATCGATAATAATGTTGCATCGCCAAATAGATGGAAAGGGCGACATATTCTTATATTTACTTCTGAATTTTATTTTTTTTATTTTTTTATTTTTTTGAAAAGTAAAAATTCATTAAAGGTGCTCCAAAGGGGAGCAATCCCAAAAGAAAACACGAGCCGTGACGCTACAACTTTAAGCTATCCAAAAAACTATCCGTTGATATACAATTCCGCCCATTTACCCAAAAAAAAAAAAACAAAGAATTCAGTATGTTGCATTTGAAAGACCAAATAGGAGACTCCTCCCCAACAAAGGATCTCCTATTTCTCTCGCTCCACAGCCCCCACCATAAAAATAGAGGAGTGGCCCTCCAAGCATCACGCACTCGGGTCTCCACTATACACCCTTTCCAACCCTCAAGCAGGTCAGCCGTTGACACGGGAAACACCGAAGCCAATCCAAAACCAACCAGGAACATTTCCCAAATATCTCTCACCACCTGGCAAGGAAGTAAAAGATGGTTCACAGACTCCCCCAAGGGTGGCGGTCTATGCAAAGAAAGCCACTTTCAAAGGGCCTTTCGTCCTCCAAATAGCTCTCCAAGAAAAGGGTTGGCTAGGAGTCTCCATCAAATTCCAGTAAAAAAATCTAAACCTCAAACACCCCTCTCGAAGAAGCCTCCCACACCATCTCATCCATTCCCACACCCTCCACCACCTGATAATACAACAAATGCAAGGAAATCAGTGACTTCCATAATCTCCCAATCTTGAAACTCTATGTGAAATTGCATATCCCAAGTAACCCTTCCATTATCAATCCGATAACAATCAGCAACTACAGCATGCTTATTCACAGAATTCCTGAAAAGGCGAGGAAATCGAGAAGCCAAAGAAAAATCCCCCCACCATCGGTCCTCCCAAAAATGTGACGTGTCTTCCGTTTCGGACATTGAACATGATACGTTTGGAGAACTCATCTCACCCCTTCCGAATGAGATTCCAAGACCCCATACCTGGGACTCTCGCTTCCCTAGAAAACCACCCTCCATTTCCTTCCTCGTAGCGACAAAAGATAACTTGCCTCCATAATCTTTCCCTCTTGCCCCCAAATCTCCATAACCATTTGCCTAACAAAGCTTTGTTGAACACATCCACCTACGGATCCCCAAGCCTCCCTTTAAAATAGGAGTACAAACTTTCTCCCAATTGACTAGGTGGTATTTGAACTCATCTCCCTCCATAAAAAATTTCTCTGAATCACATCAAGTCTCTGAACCACTGTCTTAGGCATCGGAAATAGGGACAAAAAGTATGTAGGCAAATTCAAAAGAGTGCTTTTCATAAGCGTTAGCCTCCTCCCTTTCGACAAGTACTGCTTTTTCCACCCCGCAAGCCGCCTCTCAAATCTTTTAACCACCGAATCCCAAACTTCGACAACTCCCCCAAGGGAAGCCCCAAATAGGAAATCGGAAAAGACCCAACTCTGCATCCCATGATGTCCGCAAACTCCTGAATCTCCTCAACCCTCCCCACTGGGACTATCTCACTCTTCCCAGTATTTATCTATAACCCCGAAACCACTTGAAAACATGCCAACTCACATCTCAAGTGTCTCAACTAATCAGCTCTAGCATCACAAAAAACAATTGTGTCATCCGCGAAAAGCAAGTAAGAGATTGTCAACTGGTTGGGAGGTCTACCCACTAAGAATCCTTGGATAAATCCAAGCTCTTCTGCCCTTCCCATCAATCTACTAAAAGCCTCCATTACAATAATGAACAAGAATGGGGAGAGAGGATCTCCTTGGCATAGACCACGAGAACCAGCACAAAAGCCTGCAGGGGAGCCGTTCACTAAGATCGAAAACCAAGCTAATGAAATGCAGTGATAAATCCATTTCCGCCATCTGTGCCCAAACCCCATCCTCTGCAACAAATACATCAAAAACTCCCAGCTAACATGATCGTAGGCCTTCTCAACATCCAACTTGCATACTATCCCTGGAACACTGCTTCTGGCCCTTGCCTCAATGCACTCGCTAGCAATCAAGACTGAATCCAAAATATGTCTACCGCCAACAAATGCATTATGTGACTCTGAGATCACCCCATCCAGTACTCTCCTCAAGCGGATTGCCAACAGTTTTGCGATGATCTTATATACTACACCTACAAGACTGATTGGTGTGGAATCCTTAGCATCAATAGCACCTCCCTTTTTTCTAGCACCTGTTGTCATCCCAAGTGTGCACCTTGGTTGCACCTCGTCCTATTTGTCAAGCGCCCCTCACTGTTTTTTTTTCTTAAATGATTATTCTATTTCTTAAGCCAAAAAGGGTACTTTTGACAGCTTAATAACCAAATAAGAAAGCCTAAGCATATGAGAGAAGGAACTTTTGTTCAAAAAAATAAACAAATAAGAAAGCCCAAGAGTCAAAGTGTCAACCAAACATAAAAAGAGCAAGACTATGAGACCAACGACGAAGCCCTAGTTGCAGAGACGAATGACAAAGCCATGTCAGTTCTTTCTTCTTCTTCTTCTTCTCTCTCTTCTCCTCTGCTCCTCTCTTCTCATCTTTGTTTACTTCTCTGTGTCCTTTTTTTTTTTTGGGCCTCTATTTTTTTTCCTTTTTCTTCTTTAACACTTTCTCTCTCTTCTCATCTACTTCTTTTGTCTCTGAGTCATTTTTTTTTTTGTTAATAGATTTATTTCTTTTTGTGCTCTGTTTTGCCTTTCAAAAAACCAAATTCTGTTTTTCCTTTGAAGAAAACAAATTTTTGTTTTGTTTTATGGTTGTTGAATGCTTATATGGTTGACAGATTTACTTTTTTGATATTTGATATAAAATTTTAGAATATTGATACGGCTTATGAGATATGAATACTTTTATGGTAGTTTAAAATTTCAATTGTGCGCCTCACTTCACTGAGGTGCACAATTGAAACTTTTTGGCTCTGTATTTTTTTTTTTTTTTTTCTTGTCTCGTAAACAATTTTTTTTTTTTGTTAATAGATTTATTTCTTTTTGTGCTCTGTTTTGCCTTTCAAGAAAACAAATTTGTGCTTTGTTTTACGGTTCTTGAATGCTTATATGGTTGATGGATTTACTTTTTTATATCTGATATTAATTTGGAGAAAATTGATGCAACTTATGAGATATGAATGCTTTTATGGTAGTTTAAAATTTCAATCGTGCGCCTCACTTCGCCGAGGCGCAACGTGGGCCTCGTGCCTAGGCTCGAAAGGACCTATAGCGTCATGGTGCACCTTGAGCCTTTAATAACACTAGTCCAAACAACAAGCTATATATATTTACCTGCCAGATGAATCTTTTCACTGCAATGATGTAAGCAACTGATATACAATGCTTTATGAGTTCTTAATCATTATTCACATTATGCTTTTCAAGTAAAAACCAAGATCTGTTCAACTAAGAAAAGAAAACCAAACTCACCGATACAAAGATTTGTATATTCCTGAAGTTTGTCTATCAGATCCTTGACCTACACAGATGGGATTAACCGTTACAATTTTTTAACTGTACAAACATGAAAGAGAACCCAAAAGAACAACTTCATTTGATTGTTGTATTATACATGGAAAATCATAATTCTCAATAGCTGGAATGGTTTAGTGCCAAAATATCTCAAGTAAATATTAGGTTTGCAGTCAGCATAAGAAATACTAATAATCTTTATGAACATATGGTAATGCTGGTCATGAGAATTGGAAAATATACCTGTAAATAATCATTATGGTCACCTTGGTAGGAAAAGTACAGTGATGTTTTTTTGGTAAGGAGAGGTTTTGGGCGTCCAACTAATTTCATTTCAAGTCATTGACACAAAGTACATGAACCAAAAAAATGTACAAATTGGGAATTTCATATGGGACCTGCCCTGGATCTTCTATTATCAAGTTTCAAGCTCGAGTCTTTACACTGATTATTGTAACTTCCAAATTTTCTGTATTGTCCAACCACACTAGTCTAGACAAAGCAGATGTTTCCCCCTGTAAATTCTCATGTGTCCCAGAATGTAATAATAGCGGAGCGCCAGTCACCTGAGATGCAAATCTTTTAACTTTGTTGGCTTTTACCCTGCCCCCTTATAATTATAGTCCAGTCCATGTTCCCACATTGTAGCCTACAAAATTCTATAAACAAAGCTCTGTTTCCTTCCTATTGTGTCTCGTTACTTAAAGTTGCTGCTAAGTAATGTACATGTGCTTTTGAGGTTGATAATACTGATAGAGTTGCTTGGTAGTGCCTGGACAAGCACTTTAATAAATTGTTGCTTTAGACTTTCCTTCTTAAAATCATGAGAATCAACTTAAAACTTGTAACAGTGCTCTGTATAAACTCATGAGAAGATTATTGGGGAAAGAAAGAAATAACATGTGTTCTTGAAGTAATTGTTGGGTAGACTTTCATTCCTTCTTACTTTCTTCATAGTAAAGGAAAGTAAGAACACATAGTTCACTTGAAAGCCCTACCTCGTCTTGGCGCCTTCGTCCTTCAAAGCTGAACGGCTTCACAATTATACTGACAGATAATCCATTTGCACAATTTACTGTCTTAAGGTTATTGATGGCTGTGACATGATCTGAGCTGTAACCTGCACTAGCCACCTGGTGAAAACAAAAGATTGAAATGAATGTCAAAAAGAAATTTAGTTGCCAAATTTTTTTTGAAACAAGTAACCAAATGCAACAAAACAGAGAAATTATTGACAATTGCTTCTTAAACACAAAGTATCCTCCTATTTATGAGTGAGCATTAATACTTTCCCGATGACCACTGGGAAAAAATATTAAATTGATCTCTTGGACTAGCTTCTTTCCCTACACCCAACCCACTATAAGTGTACCTTACTACTCACTAAATCTGGGCACCAACACAGCGTGACATTTGTAGGCAAGATCCCAGCTAACCCTTGCAATTTATCACTATACCTAGGGTCAAATACAGCCACACTCACTAGTAGGGGATGTCTCTAAACAAAGCTACGATCAAATTTTCTACTTTTATGCCACCCCTTCAGAATGGGAATAAAAAAAGAAGCTTAAGTATTCAGAAGACGGCAAGAGAACATTTCATTAATGTATGAATATCCAAGAGAAATTAGCCCTTCCAATAGTGAAAGATTTATCAAACTGCATCTGTGACTGGATTCCTAATACTGTTAACTTTTCAAGTAGCTCCAAAAGAAGACCCAAATATGAACGGATAGTCTACAATCAAGATGCATCACCATGAAATCCAAAATTCCACCGTCAACCACTGCAACTTCCATGACTATGCAATGTTCGAGATTAAACATCTCAACGTGTACCCATTTTTCACGTTTAAAAACAAGATGCATCACATGAAATAAAAAAATCATCAACAAATGAAAATTTGAAAAGATGAATTTAGATGAAATCAAGTGAGGAGAACACCACCTAGCCAACTGGTAAGGGCCGCTGTGGCCAAGACAAAAAGGAAAGCGGAGAGAGGAACCCCAGCTTCAAACCCTTATAGCGCTATTTTGAGAAGTAAAATAATAATACAAAATCCCAATTAATATGACCATAGGCCATTTTATGCCATTTATAAATAATCTACACATATGGCCCCTCTAATTTGGAGTTCCCACATTCACTATCAACAAGCACCTTCTTCAAGATTTGTCATATTTTGACAAATATTCATGAAAATCAGATATTAGACTCCATCAAAGATCGGATTCAAGAGGAAAGAACCTTTTTCACATGGTGAACAGTCCACAATCTACTTGGCTATGTCTGACCTACATTATTTGCATTACAAAAGTTTCAATTCTGAACATTCATCAAAAAGTTTGTAATCAGTTTCTAATAAACTAATGGAACATTTAAGGGCCATTTGCAATCTCAATGTCACTATCAAATTCCCAATAAGAACCATTAAGCCCTATAGCAGAAAAAAGTTAACATCAATTGCACATTACCAGTCAGATATTAATTTTCATCAATCATTTGACTTCATGCAATTATGAAATGATTATTTATGTCATCCTTCTATATCAAGTCTTTCCAATTTACAATTCTTTATTTCATAACATGTATCAAAAACATCCTAATAATTACAAAGGTAGGAGGTAAGGAATCTACAAACAAGTATAATGGATTTGGAACATGACTGCCAAGCTAATGGAGCTTCCACGATTCTTGGAGTGATATCTGCAAGAAGTAATATGGGAGAACAAATAAGTATCAAAAACAAAGATTTCACTTGGAATGAATGATATCATTACGAGCTACAAAGGAAGAAATCCACCGAAATGTGTAGGCACTAAATCCAGATATAGTATGAATTATTTTTTAAACAAGAAATGAATGGGCCTTGCAAATGACCAAACCCAGATATAATATGAATTATTTTTTAAACACGTTGATACGTCTCTCTTCTGAGTCTTCTCTCCTTCCATGCGCAGCTACTCTATGATTAACATTGTTCTCTGATTATGTGATCACATTTATGCACTCACTAAAAAAACTGGTGATCGATTATTTTGTTAATAGTTGTTGAAATCTAAAACAACAAAAAAGTTACTATAATCCAATTTGGACCTGTTTAGTCCCTCATCTAGGTCCTTGTAGAGCATACATAATCCACCTGAGATCTTCTACATGCGCAGCTTATGTTAGTCGTTACTTATGCATTGGTAGGTTGGCCCTTTTCCTAGGAATAAGGTTGTGAAAGAAAATGAAAGTAAAGACTTATTGTGGAGTGGGCTGACAGAGAAAAGCAGAGAACTTGAGTTCCTTGGCATTTGCAAGAGGATATTTTAGTCTTATCAAATCAACTAAAAGCTCCCAATTCTTGAGTGGAATAAATAGATGAACATAACTGACAGTTTATTTTAGCAACTACGCAAGCGACTAATCTCTTCACAACTTTAGCACTTTATTACCACACTTTAGTTTCCTCATCTAGTGGTTCTCAGTATGTTCCCTTCTTTACTGTAGGTATCTTTGCTGTTTTTGTTTTAGTTTTTGGTTAATGTCCTTTTAAAAGGAATTCTTTTTTCTACTTTGTATCATCAAAATTCCTCCATTTGTTTATTTTCCTTTTAGAAACAAGAAAGAGAACAATGTAATTCTCTGCCTTCATTTTCTCTCTCCCATAACTTCTAGTTTCCCTCAAATTCCAACTCCAACAGGAGAAGGAAATTCCTCATTATGACTATTAAATCAGTTTTCCAAAGAACCTTCTTCCTAAGTCATTTGCACAAGTGGTCCAAAATGGGGATTGACCAAATCAAAGAACCTGACAAAGACAGTTCAGTATAAGAACATAACCATTCTTTTGGACAAAATCAAAGAACCTGACAAAGACAATTCAGTATAAGAACATGACCATTCAACACCCCATATCCACAACCAAACACTTAATTTACAATTTTTTTCAACCAAATATATGACAAAAGATGTATAATTCAAGATGCATAATCTTAATGTGTTGAAAATCAAGAAAAAATGATAGTATATGGTTTCTGGGTGTTGCTTTCAGTTTGGTACTGTGATGTTGTGGCCCAAATTTGGTGCTGGGTCGTGTTGCGACCCACTTACGAACCGTTTGTTGAGCTTTTACCCATTTTTTCTCATGGGTCGTGGACCCTAATTAGTACTCTCTTGTAGCCCGGTATATAAGGGCGTTTAGGGTTTGGAGTGGGTGTAAGAGAGACGCTGAAATTTGTACAAAAATAAAGTGAGGGGCTGAAAACTTTTAATCTCCGACTTTACACAGTAAAGACTTTTACCGGATCTCCACCGTGGACGTAGGCAATTGCCAAACCAAGTACAAATCTTTGTGTTCTTTGTGTGGTGTGTTTATTTTTCTATCGTGTTGCTTGGTTCGCTGCGTTTGTCGTAACAAACTAGTATCAGAGTCTTCGGTTTGAAGCAGGGATGGCGTCCAAGTTTCTAGAAATTGATAAGTTTAACGGCAGAAATGATTTCAACCCGTGGCAGGTGGATGCAGGCTCTGTTGGTTCAACAAGGGTTACCCAAGCCACTGAAGGGGAAGGATGAACTGCCAGAAAAAATTAAGGACAAAGATGAGGTTATGGAGAAAGCACGCTGTACGATTTTGTTGTGCTTGAGTAACGAGGTTCTGCGAGAAGTTGCTAGAGAGACTACGGCAGATGAGCTATGGCGGAAGTTAGAGTCCCAGTATATAACGAAATCTCTTGCGAACTGCTTGTATCTAAAGAAACGGTTGTTCACTCTTCAGATGCACGAAGGTTCGTCTCTGAAAGACCATCTTGACGAGGTAAACAGTATCATCATGGACTTAAATAATATTGATGTCAAGATAGAGGATGAAGATCCGGCTATTATTCTGTTGTGTTCTCTACCACCCTCATATAAGAACTTTTTCAATACAATGATGTATGGCAGAACTGTTTTGTCCATAGAAGACGTGAAGGCAGCTCTGAATTCCAAAGAGTTTCAAAAAAGGGCGTTTGAGGGTAATACAGAAAGTTCAGCAGAGGGGTTGTTTGTTAGAGGGAGAATGAATCAGAAGGGAGGGTCTGGAAGCAAAGGTCGTTCTAAGAACAAAACGAATGTATTGAGATGCTACATCTGTCACAAGGAAGGGCATGTCAAAAAAGATTGTCCGGGGCATAAGAAGGGAAAAGGAAAATCCTCTGAAGTTGAAAGTGTGGTTGTTGCAGAGGGTAATGATTCAGATGGTGGTAACATTCTCACAATTTCAGTCTGCAACTCTTGCGATGAGTGGATTCTTGATTCGGGTTGCTCGTTTCATGCTTGTCCAAACAGGGACTGGTTCACCTCTTATCGATCTATTAATGGAGACGAAGTTCCGATGGGGAATGATGCGGCATGCAAGGTTGTAGGTATCGGTACAGTTAGAATCAAGATGTATGACGGCATAGTGAGGACATTGACTGATGTCAGGCATGTACCAGAACTGAGAAAGAATTTGATTTCCCTAGGTACGCTGGATTCCATAGGGTGCACTTACAAGGCTAGAGGTGGAGTCATTCGGGTTTTAAAGGGTGCTCTTGTGGTGATGAAGGGATTGAAGAAGCATGGTTTATATGCTCTGCAGGAGAGCACAGTCACGGGTTCAGTTGTTGTATCATCCTCGGATCCAATTTCAGATACTACCAGATTATGGCATATGCGGCTTGGGCATATGAGTGAGGGGGATGGATGTTCTGAGTAAGCAGGGTTTGCTTGGTGGTCAGAAAACTAAGAAGCTGGATTTCTGTGAGCATTGTGTCTTCGTGAAGCAATGCAAAGTGAAATGCAGTACAGGAATTCACAGAACCAAGGGTACGGTGGATTATATTCATCTTGATCTTTGGGGTCCCACTCAGGTTACTTCATATGGTAGTGGTAAATATATGATGACGCTGATTGATGACTTTTCTCGAAAAGTTTGGGTTTATATTCTCAAGCACAAGAATGAGGCTTTTGTTACATTCAAGTAGAGGAAGACCTTAATTGAGAAGCTGACTGAAAAACAAGATAAGCGCTTGAAGACAGACAATGGCTCAAAATTTTGATAGAGAATTTAATGAGTTCTGCAAGACTCACGGGATTGTGAGATACCACACAGCGAGGAAGACTCCGCAGCAGAATGGAGTTATAGAATGGATGAACAGACGCTATTGGAGAGGGCACAGTGTATGTTATCCAGTGCAGGGTTAAACAAAGTGTTTTGGGCTGAAACTGTTTCTACAGCTAGTTACTTGGTGAACCAGTCTCCATCAACTGCTATCAACCCAGAGGAGGTATGGTCTAGTTCTCCTGCTAGCTAAAGTAATCTGAGAATATTTGGATGTCCAGCGTATGCTCATGTGAATGAGGGGAAGCTTGAACCAAGGGCTAAGAAATGCATATTTCTTGGTTATCAACCCGGGGTCAAGGGATACAAATTATGGTGCCCAACGACTTCGGGAAGGAAGATACTTGTTAGCAGGGATGTGACATTTCATGAGTCTATGATGCTTACTCCGCAGAAGGAGATAGTTAATTCAGGGAAAGCTCAAGGTGTCAATGAGCAGGTGGAGAATGTAGAGGTTCAGTTAGAGGATAGTTTGATCAGTCAACTTATAAGCAAATGCAGTTTCGGGCTGAGGGAGATGCACAGTTGCAACAATATAGTGTGGCTAGAGACAGGCCTAGGAGGGATATTAGGCCACTAAGAAGTATGGGTTTCCACATGATGATTCGGTTGCTTATGCACTTAGTATGGCAGAGGATATTGATGAGGCTTGTACTTATCATGAGGCCATCATAGGTGGAGAGTCAGCACAGTCGTTTATGGTTTGTTGCCATGAGTGAGGAGATTGAGTCTCTTCATAAGAACCGAGCTAGTTAAGAAGCCTAAGGGCTAAAAGATTGTGGGCTATAAATAAGTATTCAAGAAGAAGGAAGGAACTCCAATGGTGGAAGATGCAAGGTATAAGGAATGCTTGGTGGCGAAGGGCTATACACAAAGGAAAGGGGTGGATTTCAATGAAGTGTTTTCTCCTGTGGTGAAACATAGCTTAATCTAGGTGTTACTTGCTATAGTTGCTCCATATAACTTGGAACTTGAGCAACTTGATGTCAAGACTACTTTCTTGCATGGTGAGTTAGAAGAGCACATTTATTTGCATCAGCCTGAGGGTTTGAGATTATAGAAAAGGAAGATGATGTTTGCCCACTGAAGAAGTCGTTGCATGGGATAAAGTAGTCTCCCACACAGCGGTACAAGCAATTTGACACCTTTATGGTTGGGAATGGCTATTATAGGAGTAAGTTTGACAGTTGTGTGCATCACAGGAAGCTCTCAGATGGTTCGGATTTGTACTTGTTGCTATATGTTGATGACATATTGGTAGCTTGCAAGAACATGTCTGAAATCAATATGTTGAAGGCTCAACTTAGTGGTGAATTTGAGATGAAGGATCTTGGCGCTGCAAAGAAGATATTGGGTATAAAAATTCACAGGGACAGAGGAGTGAGCAGATTGTATTTGTGTTTCCACAAAATTGGGACACTTGGAATGCGCAGGCGTGCCAGAATCTCGGAAGATTCAGAAAGGTTGATCAAAAAGGAAGATCCTTTTGGAACGATCAGGCGATTGTGAAGTTTCAGATTTGCCTTCGATGAAAGGACTTTTAGTTAAGACTACAATGCTATCTAATGAATTCAAATAC